AAAAAAAAAAAAAAAAGTATTAAACATATACTAGCATATAACTGAGACTTTTTCCTTAGCATACTAGTTTTAATTTATATCTTGTACATATATCCCTTATAATCATTTTGTAAACCATGAATAGTATATATCCCCTGCTTTGGAAAACACTATGGTGCTATTTTATTAATGTTGTTCAACCACCTTGAATATCTCAAGACCTAGCACAGGTTTTACCATTCACCACCTCCACAGGGGAGAGAATATACTTAAAGGGGCTAACTTTGAAAATGTAGGCTATTTCCTTCCCTTCTTTCTTCCTCCTTCCCTCCCTTCTTCCCTCTCTTTGCTCTTCCTCCAGCTGCTTTCTGCCCATCCTCCCTCTCTGGCACCCTCAAGAGAAGAAAAGGTGATTGTGTAGATAATAGTTGGAGACTGCTAGAAAGGGTCACATAATTATGGATTCTTGTGTCTGGTGCACGTTGTCATCCAGGGATTTCCCTCCGTTGGCCTTCTGGGGATTTCCTTCGCTTTCCTGTGCTGAATGTCCTGTTTCCTATATCCTAAGTCTCTCTCTTGCTTTATTCACCTGACAAATCCCTTGAGAAATGAATCATGGAGGTTCAAATTTTTGTAATTGTGAATGTTAGAAAATATGTCTCTAGTTCTGTCCCTCACTGATAGTTTTGATGGTTATTCTAAATTGGGGATAGTTTTCCTTCAGAATATAGGACACTTTGTTCCATTATGTCTTCTAGTGTTGTTGAGGAGTTTGAAGTCATTCTAATTCCTGATATATTTTTTTTTCTTTTGAGACACTGTTTCACTCTTGTTGCCCAGGCTGGAGTGCAATGGCACGATCCTGGCTCACTGCAACCTCTGCCTCCTGGGTTCAGGTGATTCTCCTGCCTCAGCCTCCCGAATAACTGGGATTACAGGCACATGCCACCATGCATGGCTAATTTTTGTATTTTTTAGTAGAGACGGGGTTTCACCATGTTGGCCAGGCTGGTCTCGGAACTCCTGACCTCATGATCCACCCGCCTCGGCCTCCCAAAGTGCTGGGATTACGGGTGTGAGCCACCGTGCCTGGCCTGTATTCCGCCCCCCCCGCCCAGAAACGGGGTTTCACCATGTTGGCCAGGCTGGTCTTGAACTCCTGACCTCAGGTGACCCGCCCGCCTCGGCCTCCCAGAGTGCTGGGATTACAGGCGTGAGCCACCGTGCCCGGCCCGTATATGTATATATTTTTTAACTGTAAAAGTTTATAGAATCCTCCATTATGGTAAAATTTAATGTGTTAGGCATTTGATAGGCTAATTTAATCTGATAGTTAAAAGTTCTTCCATTGTGGATTGTGGGTTTTTTCTTTTTTCTTTTCCTTCCTTTTTTTTGAGACAGAGATTTGTTTTGTCACCAGGTGCCAGGCTAGAGTGCAGTGGAGCGATCTCGGCTCACTGCAACCTTCACCTCCCAGGTTCAAGCAATTCTGCTTCAGCCTCCCGAGTAGCTGGGACTACAGGCGCACGCCACCATGCCCAGCTAATTTTTGTATTTTTAGTAGAGATGAGGTTTCACCATGTTGGCCAGGATCACCATGTTGGCCAGGATGGTCTCGATCTCTTGACCTCGTGATCGCCCTCCTCGGCCTCCCAAAGTGCTGGGATTACAAGTGTGAGCCACCGTGTCCAGCCTTTTCCTTTCTTCCTACCCCTGCCCCCCAAGACAGGGTCTCCCTCTGTTGCCCAAGCTGGAGTGTGGTGGCATAATCACAGCTCTTTGCAACCTTGACGTCCTGGGCTCAAGTGATCCTCCCACCTCAGCTCAGCCTATAGCTGGGAGTACAGGCATACACCACTGTGTTGGACTAATTTTTTATGTTTTTTTGTAGAGATGAGGTCTCACTGTGTTGTCCAGGCTGGTCTGGAACTCCTGGGTTCAAGTGATCCTCCTGCCTCACCCTCCCAAAGTGCTGGGATTACAGGCCATTATGGGTATTTTTCTCTGTGTGTTTTGGTCTTTATCGTCCATGTTCGAAGGTCTCCTGAAAAGTCTGATATTCGTTGACAACCTGTTTATTTTTTAAAAGGATAGGATTAAAAATGGATTGGAATCTTCGAGTGCATGGATGAGATTTGTTGTCTTTGAGCTTCACCGTAAGGTAAGGGAAACTAAACATTTTAGTTTCTTTGAGTTTGGTTACCTCACTGGAGAAAAGGCTACTGATTTCTGCACTCAAGGATTTAGTTAGTGTAGTTTGCAGAACAGTATCCATACTCTCAACTGTGTCTAGAATCCTCCAGTCAAGAGATCCTCTAATTTACCTTCTCCAGGAATATAAGCCTGGGACTACTTTTTTTTTTCTCCTCTTCACTTCAGGTGGGCAATGTGCCCATGTCATTATAAGGTTTGAAGGAGGTACATCTCAGACATGAGTGTGAAAACTCAGTCATCATACTTATAAACTATAAAAGGATCAGCCTGGAACTTCTTATTAGAAGGGTTTCAGAGAGCTCTTTGGGAACTAGGTTGTTGAATTCTACTTTTGTCAAAGGCGTATAAAAAGTACAAAATAGTCTCTTTTAAGTTGCTGATGGAAAGCTGACTAATGTGGAATTCTTAGAAAGATTATACCCACTGGTTTTGGTTGCCTTTATCAGTCTGTATCTTTACCCTCTCTAAACTTTTAGAAGCCTTTGTCACTTCTAAGAAAGATGAAGTAGTAAGACAGCCCTCCTTTTCCGGGTTAAACCTACCTCTCCCTGCCCCAACAGAGCACAAAAAAATAGATAGTGGTTCATTGCTTCAGAAAGCAAGTTTATTGTACAATTCACCCAAGTCTACTCTTTTTTTTTTTTTTTTTTGAGATGGAGTTTTGCCCTTGTTGCCCAGGCTGGAGTGCAGTGGCACAGTCTTGGCTCACTCCAGTCTCAGCCTTCCCAGTAGCTGGGATTACAGGCGCCTGCCACCACACCCAGCTAATTTTTGTATTTTTAGTAAAGACAGGGTTTCACCATGTTGACCAGATTGGTCTCGATCTCTTGACTTCATGATCCACCCCGCTTGACCTCCCAAAGTGCTGGAATTATCGGTGTGAGCCACCATGGCTGGCCCAAGTCTACTCTTAAAATATTAAAAACGTTCTGCAATCTCAGCTACTCAGGAGGCTGAAGCAGTAGGATTGCTTGAGCCCAGGAGTTTGGATCCAGCCTGGGCAACATAGCAAGATCCCATGTCTAAAAATAAAGTAAAAATAAACAACATTATAGTGGCAGAACTTCCACATAATTCTTACCTTTGACTCAGTAATCCCATGTCTAGGGTAGTAAGCAAAGTACCCATATACTAGGGGATGTCTATTTTAGTTCCCTGTTAGGACAAATAAGGCACACCATTGTTTGTAAGATACAAGATTGTAAAATTGGAAAAAAAAAATGCCTTAAAAATAGATAAAAAGTAAGTCATGTCTAACACAGTGGAGTATGTTTAGATAATTTATTATTATTATTTTGAGACAGAGTCTTGCTTTGTCTCCCAGGCTGGAGTGCAATGGCGCGATTTTGGCTCACTGCAAGCTCTGCCTCCTGGGTTCAAGTGATTCTCCTACCTCAGCCTTCCAATTAGCTGGGATTACAGGCACCCACCGCCACACATGTCTAACTTTTTGTATTCTTTTAGTAGCGATGGAGTTTCACCATGCTGGCCAGGCTAGTCTCAAACTCTGACCTCAGGTAATCCATCTGTCTCAGCCTCCCAAAGTGCTGGGATTACAGGCGTGAGCCACCGTGCCCAGCCTGATGAGACAATTTATTATCAAATACTTAAAATTAAATCAAATTATTTATTTATTTATTTTGGTTTGTTTGTTTGTTTTTTTAAATACAGAATCTCACTCTTTTACCCAGGCTGGAGTGCAGTGGCGCTATCTTGGCTCACTGCAACCTCTACCTCCCGGGTTCAAGCAGTTCTCCTGCCTCAGCTTCCCAAGTAGCTGGGACTACAGGCACGTGCCACTACGCCCAGCTAATTTTTGTATTTTTAGTAGAGATGGGGTTTCACCATGTTGGCCAGGATGGTCTCAATCTCTTGACCTCATGATCTGCCCGCCTCGGCCTCCCAAAGCCCTAGGATTATAGGTGTGGGCCACCACACCCAGTCTACTTTTTTTTTTTAATGCTTATCTTTTTCCAGCAGTATGGTTTACTTTTAATATTATACTACACATACAGTACTTGGAAGTATTGGTGATAGATGACACTAACCTTATTCTTATGTTACAGAAAATGACTTAAGTACCCGTGTGTGTGTGTGTGTGTGTGTGTGTGTGTGTGTGTGTGTGTGTGTGTGTGTGTGTGTGTGTGTGTGTGTGTGTGAGAGAGAGGGAGGGAGGGAGAGAGAGAGAAAGAGAGAGAAAGAAAGAGAAAGATGGGGCCTCACTGTGTTGTCCAGATGGCATTCAATGGCTATTGACAGGTGCAGTTATGCTCTATAGCCTTGAACTCATGGCCTCAAGAGATCCTGAGTAATCTCCTGAGTAGCTGTGGGTAAATATTCTTTCAATGAGGCCTTTAGCCAATGTATTGGGGCAGCATTCTTTCCTCGGAGGTCTTGTTTTAAATCAGTCCTGCCTTAAATTGTTCAAATTTTAGTTCTGTGGCTTTCAGTCTGAGGTAATTTTCAGTGTATTTGTATTAGAAACATTCCTGTATTTGTGTAGTGGTGGTTGTGAAATGTGAAGTTAAATCTTTAAATAGTTAATAGATACTGTTAGATTGCTGTACTGTTGTGGTTTATAGTCTTCACTATGAGAATAGATTACCTCAAATGCTTGTACTAGATATTTTGTCTTTTTAATTTTACGAATCTGGCCCGAAACGGTAGCTTACGCCTTTAATCCCAGCACTTTGGGAGACCAAGGTGAGTGGATCACCTGAGGTCAGGAGTTTAAGACCAGCCTGGGCAACATGGTGAAACCCTATCTCTGCTAAAAATACAAAATTAGCCGGGCATGGTGGCGTGCACCTGTGATCCCAGCTACTCGGGAGACTGAGACAAGAGAATCACTTGAACCCGGGAGGCGGAGGTTGCAGTGAGCAGAGATTGCACCCCTGCACTCCAGCCTGGGCAACAGAGCGAGACTCCACCTCAAAAAATAAAAATAAAAAAATAAATTTTACAAACCTGACGTTAAAAATAGTTTTTATATTTGTGTTTCCCTACTTTATACATAAACACGATTGTTGGCCTTTGTATTGCTTTTCTGTGAATTTAATTTCCTGTTTTTTTCCATGGCATTCATCTTTCCATGGCAATCATCCTAATTTTTAGGAGCTCTTTGTTTTTGTTTTATTTATTTATTTTTTTCAGTTGGAGTCTTGCTCTGATGCCCAGGCTGGAGTGCAGTGACATGATCTCGGCTCACTGCAGCCTCCATCTCCTGGGTTCAAGCTATTCTTCTGCCTTAGCCTCCCAAGTAGCTGGGATTACAGGCAGCCGCCACCATGCCTGGCTGTTTTTTGTAGCTTTAATAGAGACGGGTTTCGCCATGTTGGCCAGGCTGTTGTCGAGCTCCTGACCTCAGGTGATCCATCCACCCCGGCCTCCCAGAGGTCTGAGATTACAGGCGTGAGTCACTGTGCCAGACCAATATGTCTCTCTCTTTAAATGATCTTGTCCAACGTGACAAATTTTTCCATTCATAAGAACTTTTCTGTGGAACTGTGAAAGACCTTTCACATGCAGAAGCTGATTTCCACTTTGGCTTGTTTTAGTATGTGTCCAGGTTATGTGTGTATGTGTGTCTGTGTATACATCTTTTAACATGGAGCATTTAGCCAGAGAGAGAAATTACAGTATTAAAAGCTAGATCTATTCTTTTTTTTTTTTTTAAGACAAGTATTTGCTCTTGTTGCCCAGGCTGGAGTGCAACAATGACATGATCCCAACTCACCACAACCTCTGCCCTCCAGGTTCAAGTGATTCTGCTGCCTCTGCCTCCCAAGTAGCTGGGATTATAGGCATGCACCACCACGCCCGGCTAATTTTGTATTTTTAGTAGAGATGAGGTTTCTCCATGTTGGTCAGGCTGGTCTCGAACTCCCGACCTCAGGTAATATGTCTGCCTTGGCTTTCCAGAGTATTGGGATTACAGGCATGAGTCACCATGCCTGGCCAGCTAGATCTATTCTTATATTTGAGAGTATCAACAGGGTTTCTGAGTATCTCCATTTATGATTGAAATATGTTGCTATCTGATTTTTTTTAGAAGATGCGTTTTATCCCTTGTTTTCAGATGTCTACCCTGATTTTCAGATGTCTGCCCTCATTTTTCAGATGTTTGCCTTGATAAATTCTAAGATGTTTACCTTAGTAGAATTTTCTGTGATGAACAGGTTAGAGTTGTACCCATCTTCCTTGAGACAACTTGTAGGGCCGTTGAAGCAGCATTGTCTGCTAACTTTAGTATGTTCTGCAAATGTGTATGCGTATGAGTATGTGCCATGAAAATGGTTAGGAAGGCTGGGCACAGTAGCTCACTGCTGTAATCCCAGCACTTTGGGAGGCCGAGGTGGGTAGATCACCTGAAGTCAGGAGTTCGAGACCAACCTGGCAAATGTAGAAAACCCTGTCTTTACTAAAAATACAAAAATTAGCCAGGCATGGTGGCACATGCCTGTAATCTCAGCTACTTGGGAGGCTGGGGTAGGAGAATCACTTGAACTTGGGAGGCAGAAGTTGCGGTGAGCCATGATCACACCACTGCATGCCAGCCTGGGTGACAGAGCAAGACTCTGTCTCAAAAAAAAAAAAAAAAAGAAAAAATGATTAGGAAACATTAACTTAGCTTGCCTCTTAAGCTGTAAGTGATCTTGATATGGAGATAGAAAATAAAATGCTATGAAGGACACATAATCTAAAACTTGAATTAAAGTAGGTATATTTTTATTTTGTCACTTTTTATTAGAAGTTATTGTATGTTCTCTACTAAGTATCAGCACTATATTTTGACTGACTGCAAGACTTAGACTTTATTGTAAAATTACTGTTCTTAGACTAAGGTTACATTTAAGGCTTGTCAGTGAGGTCTTCACCAATGAATTGTAGTCAGTTGATTCCAATACAGTCTTCCCCCACAGCTGAATATAGAATAAAATCTATTGCAAGCTGGGTGCAGGGGTGCACATGTGGCAGGACCGCTTGAGCCTAGGAGTTCAAGACCAGCCTGGGCAAATAGTGAGACCTTATCTCAATTGAAATATGTATGTATATAAAAAATAAAATTCATTACAGTTCATCTTCCTGGAAGACAAAATATTGTTTTTTTTAATTAATTTTTTTTTTTTTTTTAAATTTAGAGATTGGTTCTTGCTCTGTTGACCGGGCTTGTCTCGAACTCCTGGCCTCAAGCGATCCTCCCATCTTGGCCTCCAAAGTGCTGGGATTACAGGTGTGAACAGCTGTGCCTGGCCAACAAAGT